AAGCACAGCAAACCAGGTGAGGGACACGGGGAGGGGGCAGGAACAGGCAGGATGTGGCTGTCCCAGGTGTACTTGTAATGTAGACATGATGGATTTGTCAACCAATTGAACATGGAATATGAGAGAAGTTGTCAAAGGAGACCCCAAGGTTTCAGACTTAAGCAACTGAAGAATAAGGTTGCATTTCATTGAGAATGGAAAGGTTTGTTTAAAGATCATTACCTTAAAAATATTTTGAAAATTCCTTTAGGGTCTACAAGGGTACATATTCCACTTTCATTTTCTACTAATAGGAAAACTAGAGCACAGAGATCCTGTCAACTGAATAATAATAGGGAAAACAATCAGTGCTAAAATCCTGGATAGGATTTTAAGTCCTGATTAGGATTTTAAGTCTGAATTCTAGGAGTGAAGCCAACTAGATCACAGAACTTGCTGCAAATATTAAAAATAAAAGTTGCATAACATAATTTTTTCCCAAGTTTTAATCATTCAATGAGCACCTTTGAATGAAACATACAAATAAATATTTCACATGTCTTTCTTGCTCAGGCTTCAGGGCAGAGGGGATGGATTATTTGTGTGGACATACTGAAGACTCAAAAAATGAAAAAAAAAACTGTATATGATTGTATATAATCTGCTCTTTCTAACATTTTCATGAGAGTTGAAAGCCAGAGTCTTTGATCTCTTTATTTGTACTATTGAACAAAGGGTCACCTCTTCTAGATGCTCCTAGAAGGAGAAACAAGCCCAGCAGATTCTTAGCATAAGAAGTGCAAGTGACATTGGGAGTGGAGTGGGAAAGACACCAAGCTGCCCCTTCCCCCAATCCCAGTCGCTCCAAGGCTGTTGCTCAGCCCTGGTTGTGTAGAGAACTTGAAGGGGCCTTGTTTCTGAGGAACTGGATCAGCAGCTCTGAGCAGAGCAGAGTTTAGTCTCTATCTTCATTCCCAGACCATGGGACTGATGGAATGCTGCCCAGCATCAGCTCTCTGTACCCAAATGACAAGGGGAACACTGGTTTGCAGGGAGTCACAAGAGAGGATCAGCCTTGGGACCTCATCCCCTGTGCTCATAGCTATTATTATGGGAGGTAAAGAAGAAATAAGTAAAAGTGTGGTTCCTTGCCAGGCTGAAGCCCAAGTCACAGCTAAAGAAAGAAGATGAAGTTATGAGTGACCACCTTCATGCATTGTGGAAGAGGGTCACCCACACGACACCTTCAAGAGTTATGAATTACCCATGGAGAGAAAACAAATAAAGACATGAAAAAATTAAGGAAATACAAACAAAATCTCCATTGGATCACATCTATTTGCAATATTGCCTGTTAGGGGGACTGAAGGCAAATTTTGCGTGCTGTTTGATTTTTGTGGATTTGCTTAGTAGACACTATCATTTATCGGACACAGGCTGTTTGCTGTTCAGCAAGATGGCTTATTTAGAACCTATTAAAACAAAACATGTGTTCTTCACACACAACCCTCACACACAACAAGGCTGGTGGTGTTACTATCGCCCCTGTCTTATAGGCAACAAGAATGGTATCTACACCCTGAAGCTAGACGTCAGGTGGATGTGGGGTTGAAAAAGTTTGCTCCAACTGGTTTCTGGCCCCCAACTTCTGCACCTCTCTCTTCCCGAGTCTGGTGAGTCAGTGCCTTAACTAGCTATATGCCATTTTTAGTGTCATCATGCAAGTTCAAGTTAGAATAATGATAAAGAACTTTACCATAGAAATCAAAAGAGTGATCTGGGAGAACATAAATGAATGATCACATGAACTTGAGATTAACCTGAGAGAAGGAAGCCCTCAGATAAAGTCAATGTGAGTTATCTTCAAAGATCTGAAAATCTTTTAGGGAAAGGAAATAAGATCAGAAGGGTGATAAATTATATTAAGCAAAAGATAACATAAGACAAATGCATAATAATCAGAGCTACATGACAATGAGGTCGGCTCTCTTCAGACCTAGGTGGGGGTCTTCTCTCATAGAGACTGGAGGAGAAATAGTCAGGAATGCTGAAATGGGCAGTGGGCTGTTGCCCGGATGGCCTTTAATGTTCCTTTCAATCATAAGGAAACTACTTATTCAAACTAAGGGCTCTAGTTCATTATTTGATTTTCACATTATCTGTACTGTTTTATCTGGATCAGACCAGAGGTCTGGGCAAAAACCCCACAGGTAAAATTCTATGGATCTTAGGTTCTCTGTAGGCAGAGTGTTCAGTAATGTTTCTTCTGTTTTGTAATTTTTTTATTGAGATGGTTAACAAAAATTTCTTCCTGTATAGAACTTACTCAGAACAAGAATGAATTCATGCTAACAGGCAGGTGATGGCCTGAGGTAGCAGAGAGCACAAGAGATTGTGCTGGCTCAGCTGTTGAGGTCATGCTGTCCCAGCAGAGTATCCCAATACCTCCCAGTAACCATTTCCTATTTGTTCTCTTTGATTTATTTCAGTAAAAAACCTGACACAGGTTTACATTCTCTACTGCTCTACATCCACAGAAAAAGTTTCTAAACACAGATAGTACCAAACTGAGAATGTCTTAACTTATGGGTTAGAACTTTCAATTGAACATTTTTAAAACTGCATGCTTTAATTGGACGCTTGTTTAGCAACAATCTCTTACTATGCTATTGTTAACAGGGTGGTCCCCAGGAAAAGGGGAAGTTCCAGGTTCCCTGCCCCACCCAGAAGGAGGGTGGAACTGAACAGAGGGGGAAAAAAAAAAGAAAGAAAGAGAAGGAATCTGAGGAGGTGAGGAGGAAGGAATCAGGATGGAGAGCCTGAAGGAGACCTGATGAAGCCACATGGAGCAAAGGGAGACATGTGAAGACAACGTGTTTATTTCTTGGCCCTGGACTGGTTAAAAGAGATGTGGGTGAGACCCATGGGGTCTATGGTAGTGACTATGGCAGTGTTTATATTGATTTTGATTTTGCTCTTTTGCTCTCAGACTTTTCTGGTGATTTCTGACCCTTTTCCATGGGTCCTGGCCAGAAGGTACTTTAGTCTTGTGGCAGGCTTTCAGGCCTTGCTTTGGACCAGTCCCTTTTGGGTTGACTTTTGCACATGAGGCGATTGGTGTTTGATTTAGAAGTTATATTATTTGTCTTCCATTTTGTATACTCACTGTATTAAAGTTCCTTTTCATTAAAGTCTTGCATGTTTTGTCTTGATGCAGCAGGTGGCAGAACCTATTTAGAGCAGATAGGTTTGGGGGTTCAGTGGTGCCCCTCTCCCTGTCCTGTAACTCTATCACAAGAATCTTCTGGAGATGATTAAAGCTCCCAGAGGAAAAAGCCACCTCAAGGCTAGGCAGGATGGCAGGCAGGGGCATGGTGCCGGCCGTCCCTAGAGGAGTCCACTGTGGTGAGAGCACCGGATCTGTAATGGGAGTATCCAGGTTTGAAGGTTTGGACCCTCTGCTTAGTCCCCAGGGCAGGGATTTCCAAAATGCAAAGGGGATGGCCAGGTCTGTAAGTTTGTTTATATAGTTTAATGTTCAATCTATCAGGAACTGAATGCTACTGTAAAATGTAATAAAAATATTAAAAGGAAACCCTTTTTATTGTAAGACTCAGTATTGCTAAGTCAGTGTCATGAGCTTGCTGTCAGCTCCTGCAGGGCGGCAGTCGCAGCATCAGTAGCTTCACAAAGGCTGCCACTAGGGCTACTCAGCCCGTCTTCATTTCTCCACATACTCAGTCTCTCTGGGTGGTCAGTATTAAGATGAGGAAAAAGGTGTGTGACAGATAAAACATGCCAGTCAATTTTCCAGGCTTTCCTGTGTTCATCAGTACTAACAGTACCTGAAAGTGACAGCAAAGCATCAAGTGTACTTGCCTTGTTTTCAGTGAGAGTAGAGAAGGATGTGGAGTAATCAAGTCAGAATTTCTAGTGACAACTGCCCTTGGGGTCACTTACTTCCCAGACAGAATACTCGGCTGAGCAGCAGGAAGCCACGAGGTCTGAGAACTGCAACCAAAAGCTCTTGATATGTCTATATTGCCTCTGACTCTGCCTGGCAAGACATTGGGCCTTCTAGAAGGTCACCGTCCCATTTGCAGGCCACCACTCACCTGGGATAGGCATTCAGGTTTCCAGCCCAGATGCACCCTCCTGCCAGATGGGGACTGGCAAACATCTTGGATTCACATCAGATTTCAGTCACTCTTTGGGCTCACAGAGTGTACTTTGTATGCCTATGTTCGAACACACTTGTGCATACACACATGCTCAAGAGTCAGCAGAGACATCTTCCTAGGTGGCGGGGAGCCTGTTCTTGGGGTCCTTGCCACAGATCTCCTAATTACTGCCAGGGAGACTCAGCTGTGCTGACTATAAGAGGCTGCCCCATAGCATTTAAGCATACAGAGCACTCTCTCCCCCAGCCAGCAGCAAGGTCAAAGGTGGGCCTCCCCACCTTTCCCATCCCTGGGCTTTTCTACTAGCTCGCATCTCTTATTTTATATCCAATTGTCTTTTAACATAAAAAGTAGACACAGCATTAAAATTTAAGAGTACTGAAAGAGAGGAAATAAAAGTATCTTCACATCTCCTAGCCCAGGGTAACTACTATTAGTGCTTATTTATATGTATATGGTGTCAGACACATGTTAAGTCTTATAGAAATGAGGTGTATATTCCCTTTCTTTTTGAAACACGTGATTGTTCTATGGTTTGGCAATTAGCGACTATTCTCATGTTTAAGAACCTTGCGATTCAATTTTGTATCTGATTTTTACTTCAAAACATTTATCTATATATCTATATTTTCATATACTGCCATTTCATTTTTATACAGTATTTGATTCCTCCTTTCAGGTGTAATCCCTATAGTTCTCCCACCACCATAGACCCTGGTGAAATTCCCTCCTGTTCTGACCCTTCTAACCTCTCCCCTACTGTTAGCCTGGGGTGGTGCTTGTCTTCACACTTCTCTGGCAGGTCAAGCCCCACCTCCATTATCCCTCCCCCCCCATTACCTTTCTAGCCTCTGCATGGTCATGGCCAGTGTTTTGTTCAGCTCGTCTATCATCCGGCAGCCTGAGGGGTGCATGGGAAGGGAGCCGGTGGTGGAAGGGAGGTGCTGACCCAGGCTGCCATACTGCAGCTGGTGCTGGATCTGGGATGGCAGAACTGTGTGGTGCTGGCCACTCTTCTGAGCTGCGTAGGATGCCAGGGAGAGGTCTGGCCCCCCAACAGGCATACAGATCATGACTTTCTTTGGAGGTAGCGGAGGCGACAGTTTCACTGGCAGACAAGGCAATTTCACAGGGGCGCCAGGATCTGCAGCAAAAGGAGGGTGAAACACAGATGTGAGTTTCAGGGCACCAGAAGAAACCTAGTATGCTACAAGGCCCAGCTGGCAACCAGAGACATCAAGGTGGACCCTGAGTGAAAATGCCCAAACAGAAGGCAAGGCACAGTAAATACCATTTGACTTTGCTCTCCTGTCCAAAGCATGGGACCCACAGGTCTCAGGGACCTAGGCATTGGAGGGGTCTGTACTCAGCTGGGCTGAGGTCCACAAGCAGCATGAGGTGGGGCAAACACCGAGATTCCCTCTGTCATAGAAACCCACAGACCTTCAAAGGGACATTTCTAGGCCACGCCAAGCCAAGTGCAGTTTACTTTGTAATGTGAACATGTCTTTCCAGCTGGTCCTTTCCCACAGCTATGGAGTGAGAAGCCAGTCCTAGTTTATATCCTCTAATAGTGTGTCACCTCACAAAGACTTCAGTGCTGTACCTTCATTCTTTCATCTGTAAACTGAGACAATTACCACACCTGGGAGGATGGACTGTCACAGAGAGGGCTCAGGTGTCACCTTGGGAGCTGGGTGACTGCAGGCAGCTGTGGGGGTCTGTTCCAGCAGGAGGAAGGCCCAACAGGCATTTGGGGCTCGTGGTATCTGCACATATCAAGCCACTGGCACCACAACAGTGCAGCACTGAAGCTTCCCAAAGAACCTCCAAGGGGGTAGGGTCAGGCCAGCTCTCAAGCAATCTAGGATGGCCTGCTGTGTCCCACATACAGGAATCACCTCCCACAGGGCATGGCTGAGTCCTGCATGAGAGCCAAGAGGCACCTTCACCTCCCTTCACAGGGAGGCCCTGCAGGTCTGATTCTTATTCTTTCAGGACTTACATTTTTTCCACTACTCCCTGCCTACGCTGGTGTGGCATTGTTTTGAGTTTAGCTCACAGAATCCCCTAGTGTGGGTCTCCCCTGGCCACTCAGGCCCCTGCCTTCAGGAAACCACTTTATTTCACAAAGAAAACTAAGGTTCACACTTGTGGGCTTTCTCTCACAGTGACCCACCCAACTAGCTCCCAAACTACTGCATAGTTTCACGTCCTTGGGCATTTATTATTTCCCCTCAGTTTGAAATATTATCTTTTTTGTCTTCTTGGTTTATTCCAACTCAAGAATCAGCTCAAAAATGAACTTTCTTGAAACACATTCCTTACTGACATTGCTCGTCCATGCTGCACCCCTGTAACTGCCTCAGGTGTGTGATGCCTGCCCAGGTGTGGGGAGCCTGTTTCAGATGTGTGCTGCCTCCCTATGTGTGCAGTGCCTGCCTAAGTGTGTGTTACCTGCCTAGGTATGTGGTGCCTGCCTAGGTATGCGGTGGCTGCTCAGGTATGTGGTGCCTGCCTAGGTGTGTACTGCCTGCCTAGGCATGTGGTGGCTGCCTCAGGTGTATAGTGCCTGTCTTAGGTGTGCGGTGCCTATCTCAGGTGTGCAGTTCCTGCCTCAGGCATTTAGTTCCTGCCTCAGCTGTGCACTATAATGGCAACAAAGTCAATGAATGACAGTGATAGTGATAACAAGTTTGTATCACACTCGCCACAGACCAGATATTGTTTAGTGATTTTCATATCTAATCAACATTGTTCACACAATACACCCATGACATAAGAGGATGGCTCTGGACTCAGGATACTTACTAGCCTGCTCTACAAACTGAACATCACAGTTCAGTTCTCTCTCTCAGAGTGTAAGGATGAATGACTGTCACTGTATCTTCAGCATTGTGTATAGGACCCAGCTCACCAAGAGCCTTATAACATTTTTACAGAAAGAGTAGAAACTGTGATGTTCTGTTTTGGGGTGAGCTCTTACCTTCCCCGGAGAGGTCTATGCTAGGAAAGAGCATAACATGGTGCCCAATTTTAGGATCATGTATCTGTGGATATTTGGACACTAAACGGCTGGAGATAACCCAGTAATTCCAGGGATACTGATAAGATTGTTCCCCTAATACCATTATGTGAACCAGTTATAACCACAAAGTTTTCCCAATTCTACTCCCAGAATGTTGCCCATCTGTTATTATCCTCCATGCACAGAGCATAAGGTAACTACGTTCAGAAGCAGGACAAGTGGTGTCAATTACAAGGTGACTGAGACCCACAATCTCACCACCTTTGCCAGTGCTCTGCTGCTGAAGGGTCCACTCTTATGTTTCTTGGAGTCTTAAGGTCAAACCCAACAAATGCAGCATGTCCAGAAAAATTAAAGGTATTTTTTCCCCCATGGATTCTTCATGGGTTCATGATTTCATGGATAGGTGCTTAATCACTAGGGCAGGAAGTAGAAGGAACCTGGAAGGGATACTGGCTTCCACTATCTGGCTAATCTATGACTTCCTGCACATCCCCAACAGAAGTACTTCTTCTCACTATTTTCATAGCAAGAGGAAATTAGTTTCGTCACTTGAATATTGGCCAAGTGGACGCCAGGGACTCTGTCACAACACACAAGGCAAAAATAGTGAGTAGAGATGGTTACTTTCATTGTCTTAGGAATGACATACTAAGATAGATCCTGCCTGATCTGCCTTCATGGGATGTGGCCATAGTTAAATAGTAATAGAGAATGAAAGTTAATAATTTAAAATTTTGTTGTTGTTGTTGTTCAGTTGATTTGGTAAGCAGGGAGCAGTTAAGGAAACCACCTGCTTTCAGTGACTTAACAATGCAGTCCTCATGACTCTCCAACATTGTGGCTAACTGAGGGCTGTCTGGGCAGCTCAGAAAATAGCAAAACCTACTTTTCTATCTGTGACAGTTTAATTTCAAGACATATCTCAGAAGAGATCTAGAGAGACATATATAGTCTATCTATCTTTCTCTCTGTGTACTCTGCCCCACCTAATCCATCTCCCACCCACCACCAGGCCTCCCACTCCCAGACCAGACTTGAATCCCTACATGTCTCCTGGACCCAGTCAGTGCTACAAGCCCGGATACAGCTTTCTGGGCCCTGGCAGTTCCACTCTGGGTCACCTAATAACCAGGCTCCTTCCCTCTATGGCATTGCCCTACCACTTAATGATGATCAAACTTGCATTCACTTTTCTTCCCTCACCTGTGACCTTGATCATTAGCACCCCCATTTAATTCTTCTCAGATTTTTGCCAGTATACCTGCCACCCTTGTGTTAGCCTTGCCTTCCCAACTAGCTCCTGGATGGCTCATTCCATGCACTTGGGCTTTCCCCACAGTCTGCCCTGATGAGAAGGAACACGGTCACACTGCCTCATGCTTCTCAACCCCAGTGAGGCAGAAGATTCATAATGACACTGACCCAAGCTCCCCCAGATTCTCCATGGCGGTCTGTGTGTTTCACAAAAGTCATCGTTGAAAACCACTCTTAGCTTCCTACTCTCATCCTTTTATCTGAAAACAAAAAAAGGGCTCCATTTCTTAGCACAGTGTCAGTCCTTTGATGCATTCTTGAAATGTAATTCTGGTTTCATCTCTTTCCTACTGAATTACAACCTTTAATTCACTGTTTGAGTTTAAAGAGCTTCCCAGGAGCTGACCACTCAAAAGGACTTGAACTGGCTGATTAGGGTCCTAGGTTTCATGCAGGGTGTGCTGTTCGAGCACTTAGCTACCAGAATGCTCAGCTCTATCCAGACCCTGCCCAATGTGCAGCCTCACATCTCCCTCCAACATTTGAAAAGCTAGAGACCAAGTCGATGGAAGCAAATTAATCAGATTTAATTTCCTTAAGACCTATTCAGCTAACCACTAGCTCGCCTAAATCTAAAGTTTGTAATTACAGTTTTATTTTTAAATCAGTTTTTCTAATGGGACTTTCAACTTAGTGTTCTGATTATAAAAATAATTTATCATTGATAATTTTGCAAGCAATAAGATTTATTTTACTCTATGGTATGGTTTACTATTGTATTTGCTTTAGAATACTTTAAGGATATTTTAGAAAAGTTTGCCTAAGAGCTTTTCTTCAAAATTTGCCTCAAGAGGCTTTCTTATACACAAACAACCAAGCAGAAGAAACAGAGATAAAAAAAACCATCCCCTTTTCAATTAAAACAAAAAGAATCAAATACCTGGGAGTCAACCTAACAAAGGAGGTAAAAGACCTCTACAA